CAGCTGGAGGTCAGTTCTCAACTCTTTTTCCCAATCTTTCAGTTTTGACTTGACCATCTAACTCAGTAGAAGCCCAGAAGGCTTATTTTCAAGTTTCTGTCTTACTCATGTGATATATGAAAGTTTGCTCCTCAGTTAAATCCTTCTGCTTTTCTGACTCAGCTACTAGCAAGAGGGTCATCTTTGGTCATGCGTTTTTGTCCAACACAAAGGCTAGAGAGAGTGGTGCCCCTCCCCAGCTCTTCTCACTCATTAGCTTAGATCACAGAAAGCTCCTGCTGGGATGGGCCTTAGGATAATCCAATGCAGCCCCTCACTTTACCAAGGTCAGCAACTGAATCCCAGAGATGTCAAGCAACTGGCCCAGGACCACAGTGAGCTAGAGGCAAAACTGAGACCCCAACATTGTTTTCGTGGCATCCAGCTTAGCGCTCTTTCTACTTTGCCACTATGAGCGGCTGCTGCTGCCGGCTCAGGGCTCAGTAGACGGATGGGGCTTGCCCAGGTCTGGCTCATGCAGGATGAATGCAAACTGACCGTTTTTCAATCTGACTGCTGTGCTTTGACCAGCTGGTCTGATTGAAACTGCTCTGGCCAGTTCAACCAGAAGTGAATGGAGCTGAAAAATGAGTGTCCGTAGTTGAGAGTGGGGCTGGCCTTGTAAGTTCTCCACTTGTTAACTCTCCTCTGCTCTCCACCTCAGTTTCCCAAGCATCTCCTCCACTGCCTTGTTACATGTTTCATAGTATTTCATTGCAGTGATCATGTATTGGGGTAAACATTGCCCTCATCTCCCTCCGTTGCAGATGTCTCCTGGGAAGGGTTATGTGTACATGTCCCACTCCTCAGGGTGACTGAATGGATCAGAGGTTTTCTTCCCTTACAGGGCACCAACTAGGAGAGCACTGGAATGGTGTGGAGGGAGGGTGAGAAAAGAGAGGAGATAAAGAAATGGGATGGTGGCAAAGCCAGTCTAGGTCACAACTAAGTCCATAGCCATCCACCTGTCATTAAGTACGTGTATGTTCTTATTGTGGGAAACATAATAAAGAACTCAAAACAAAGTTATTCAGAGTTCAAAGGGAAGAGAAATGAACAATTACAGGTCTACTTTCTCTAGACCTAGACTAAGTGCTCTCACTAGATTTTAGTCACTCACATGACAACCCAATGAGGTATCTATCATTAGCCCCATTTCATGGATGAGAAAACTGAGGCTCTGAGAGAGCTCAGAGAGCCCTAAGTAAATCCCAGGGTGATGGGCTCTCCAAACCTATGCTTTCTCCTTTTTTTATAAAAGGCTCATTTAAGATTGGATTCCTCTTTGCTATACCCCTAAACCAGCTTTTTGAAGGTAGCTGGCCAGGCTATTTTATAAGAGCAGAAAATGATGCCAAGGAAGTGAAATGACTGTCACAGGAGCAGTCTGGTCTGCTGCCTATGGTCCCCAGGCCTTGGGTTACCATAGTTGTAAGAACCCTGCATGAACTGACTCTTCCATTCACTGTCAGTAAGTGAAATGGTGGGAATCCCTCATCAGGAGAAGGGAAGTCCCTGGTCTGTAGGTGCAGTCTTCCATGAACCCCATTCCTGGTCTTATCTTGCCTTTGCAGACATTTGTTTAGTATACACAACACCCCGTTTTATCCTCCTTTTTCAATTCCTTGAGGCTCATGTTTTGTAAGGCTAAACAAATAAAAATCAGTATTTTGTGTGTGTGGAGGATAGATAACTGTTGAAAGTGATATATATATAACACACCAACCTGTTCATAATATTAAAGCTTGAATTTCAGAACAGCACTTTCATTAAATACTGTTGCTCATTCAGTTTGGAGAGACTCATAAAAACAGAAACAGATTGACTCAATACTATGCATGCCTTCAATCATTGTGACAAAAATCACCAATTATTGAGAGTATGAACGTTTTTTAAAAAAATTAGTGACAGCTGGAAAGACAGCATTAAGCATAATGCCCAGGATAAGGAGGAAAACATATTTTGTTAGTGTTTTATGCCAAACTATAATGAGTGCCAGCACTTTCTTTGACATGAAGTTTTTACGTTTTTTGTTCCATTTTGAACAGGGGACCCTGCTGACACTCCTGTTATACAGGCCCAGAATAAGTTCAGCTGCTGATTGCCTGGTGGGACCCAAACATGTGAGTGTCACAGAAAGCATCGAGGAATAAGCCTACAGCTTTCCCTTTTGAAGAGGCACCGAGGATTTGGCAGCACTATAACCCTTGAAAAAGACAAGAAAGTGGGTGATTTAGAGTGTGATTTCAGGAAAGTCCCCTTTGAATCACAATATCAACTTTGCCTTCTTACAAAAAAGGAAGCGAGCCCAAGAACCTGAACACCTGAACAAGTGGCTTGTCCATAGTCATACAGGGTCTCATTAGTGGCAGAACCAAGACAAGAATCCAGGTCTCTGGACTCCCAGGTTGGTGCTCTTTCAAGCATTATATCTGCGGCTGTCCTCTGACTTCAGTAAACAAATGGATGTCTGGAAGTACACTGCTTAGTATGCAAGCCAGAGTGACCTTTATGCTCACTCCCAGAATCATCAACCTTTTGTGGAAACCATGGAAGGATGGTTCTGGAAAAATAATGAAACACATAATCACAACTGCAGAGACAACCAGAGCTCTGCTTAGACTGCAGAGTCCTCCTCATCTTCCAAGTACTGAATCCCAAACATATACACAGCAACTCAGGTGGGTCTAAGCAATAAGGAGATGGAAAACCCGAGTCCTGACAATTCAGCCAGTTCTCTTTTTTTTTTTTTTGCATCCCATACCAATCTCCAAAATAGGGCTGATTTCTGAGTGTCAGGTCCTTTGTTATTCAGTTCCTGAAAGGAACCAGCTCCTGGGAGGTGGACCCAGCCCAGGATTGCAAGAAGCCTTGGAACTTCCTGCCCCAGACTTAGGCCTGGCCTCAGGGAAATGTGGTTCTTGGGACGCATAGGAAGAAATCCCTCTACTTAGCCGGGAGCGTCTTCATCCCAAGAGGGGTCCTCTGAGACTTGTGGGAACCCTGCTCCCCGCAACGACAGGTTTCTTCCATTTTTAAGAGCCCTGACACATGAAATCTACCATGACAGAATAATTTCTTTGTTTTTCTTAACAGCATGGAGGAAAGGCTTATAAATGCAAATATCCTCCAGCAAGGTGCTGTATGTATTCACACTAGAATGTTAGTGACATATTAAATCTCATCAACTGGACTTTATAACCCCATCCTGTTCCTTCTTTTGCTCTACAACTACCAACCTGACTGCCCCTTTCTCTGAGAGTCAGACTGTAAGTGTGTGTGCACACACTCATGCGTCCGTGTGTTCCTTTTCACCACCTAAATGTGTAAATCCTGATTTTTCCCCGTACTGGTTACCACCCCTTCACCCCCACCCAAGGCATGTTTCCATGTTCCAATCCCACTAATCTCTTAGAGTAGAATCTCGAGTTAGCTACTGGGTGCATGAATGCGTGACTCACCTGTTCCACAAGTGTTTTCCTGGGGACCCCAATTAATGTCATTATAATGGCTTAATGGCAGAGAGGTCCTCATATGGCAACAAGAGAGCCACCTACTGGTTGGACTAAAGAGGGTGACTGGGTGGGTGGCCAAGGAGAAGGTAAGGACAGTTGGCAAGCTGAGTTTCTGGGTCACCTCCATGGTTTCCCATTTTCCTGGCTCATACCTTCACCGCCTTCATGGGGGTCAAGCATGTCCCGCAAACCTGAGGGTCGGGGGAGCTCTCAGGAAAGCCAAGGTGCACTTGGCTGCTTAGTACAAGTTCACCAGTCAGTGTCCCCCCAGGCACCCAGGGACAGGTAGAATGCCTGAAATGCAGGATTTCCAAGACTCCCTCGTGCCTGCAGCTCGACAAAGGTACTCACACTGTCCCCAGTAGGTTTGGGAGCGTATGGAAGGGCTGGGGAAATCTGATGAGAGCTAAGGGCAGCTGTGACATTGCCCAAGGAGGGCCCCTTCCTTAACAGGCCTGGACTCTGTTGGCACATCCAAGCTTAGAGTGTAGCAGGTAAACACAACCTCACATTAGGAATTGTGCAAAGGAATTGTACCCAGGTGGTCAAAAAAGTGGCGTTAGTCCTATTTTACAGAAGAGGAAATGGAGGCTCAGGAGGGGCAAGTGATTATCCCATGGCTGCCCAGCAAGGAAGTAGCAGCTTCTCAGGTCTCTGAGACCAGTGCTTGCTGTTTCCTTGCACAGAAAGAACAGGAGGGATGGAGCAGAGCTCAGCGAGGGAACAAGTCTTTTGCAGGAGATACAGGGAGAGCCTGTCTCTGGAGGGACTTGCTCCCATACTAGAATTCACTTTCCCCCATCCCCAGCCCCAACAGCGGCGCTGTTCTGAAAAACTGCGGCCACCCGGGGGCCACATCTGCAGCAGTGGGATCGAACAGAGTGGGCATTCATTCACGGAAACATCAGTTCCCTGTACACAGCAAGCTCCACCTGATCGATCTAATGGGAACAATCTGAGCTCTTGAGTTCCTGGGGACCTCACCCTGAAGGGACAGCCTCTTCTTTCCTCGCTAATCCTTCCATTCCTGGTCCTGCAGATGAAAAGAGCCTTTGGGGCATGGAGACTTGAGGATGGTCTGCACCTATTTATTAGAAGAGATGGTGCCAGGGAGTGGGTGGATGTTGCTTGGTTTCTTGGATTTAAGCCATGGGGGGCTGTGCTGTGTGACCTTGGGCACATCCCTTCCCCCCTCTGGGCCTCAGTTTCCTCATCTGTCACATCCCCTTAAATCAGATGGACTCACTCTGATGGCATACTTATGGTCATACGTTTTTCCTCCAACAAACCTTATATAAGGGAAGCCTTCCTGTAGGTATGGGGCTTGATGCTGGGGATTCAGCAGAAGGAGAGTGGTCTAGGTGAGTCTCTGCTCTGAAAAAGCTCCCCTTCCCGTTCTGCAACGTTTTTTGGTCATGCTTCTCGTTCACGCCGACTTACCTTTTCAGAAAACGACCCCGCTTCCGTTGGAGAATGGAAATTGGCAAAGAAAGAGAGAAGGTCCAATTTGCGCCTTTGCTATTTTAAGGGAGGTTGAAATTATGAGCCAAAGTGGAGTGACGCGCTCACTGGAGTGACCTCCGTTCCCCCAAGACAGGAAAAGTCAGGTCCTCTGCTTGGGAAGTGGCTCGAGCTCTTCTTAGGCGTGGAGCATTATTACATAAATTCAGGCTCGCTCCTGAGCCTTAGTACCCTGAGTTGCCTGAAGGGGGGAATGGCACTGCCTGCGTGTGCAGCCCCGGCGCTCCGGCCGCCACTGCAACCGGAGCGTGGAGCGCCCGCCCGCACCACCTGTCCCCGCCGGCATTCCAGAGTAGAGGCCGAATTGGCAGCGAGCCGGCCCGGATCAGTCGCCGCCTCAGTCCGCGCGGGCCCTCCTAGGGGTGTGTCTCGCGGATTCAACTCCCAGCAGCTTCTGGACGAGCCCCTAAAGGCGTCTTCCTCCCTGGCGGGAGCCGTGCGCGCCCCACTCTTCGCGCTGCTGCCCCGAGGCCGCCGCAGGCGGATGCGCGACCTCAGGAGACGCTGGGACCTGGGATCCCTCTGCCGGGCCCTGCTCACTCGGGGCCTGGCCGCCCTGGGCCACTCGCTGAAGCACGTGCTCGGTGCGATCTTCTCCAAGATTTTCGGACCCCTAGCCAGGTACATTTTAGGCGAAAGCGGGACTCGCGCTCAAGGGCCCAGGCGTGCGGGGAGGGGTGGCAGCCCCAAGGGGGAAGGGAAGGGTGCAAAGTTCCAGCTGGCCCGTGGCGATGAGGCTCCGGGGCTCCGGAGGGGCGCGGCGCGCATTTGGCTACGCTGCGGCTCCCTCCCCGCGATTCCGTGGGCACCGGCAGCGCAGCTTGCAAGTCGGGTTGCCGGCGGACTCCTTCCCCCAGGGGAACTCCAAACGCCCGCCTCCCAGCTCACTCTAGCCGGCCTCTAAGGTGGGCAGCCTGGTGCAACCAAGAGCAAGGCTTCGGGGCGCATGGGGAAGGAGCCCGTTCCGGCAGGCGGGGAGGCAGCGGCATGCGCGCCAAGGGGACTGGGGGAAGAAGCTCCAGAGAGAGTCCGGTGAGCGAAGCGGGATGGGGATGGGAGCCATGGAGCTACCGAGAGTGGAGGGAGACGTGCAGGGGCTCGGACCGGGGCTGCGAGTTGAGGAGTGGGGAAACCAGGATCCCGCGGGTACGAAACCCCGCGAAACGGCCCCGGAGAGCTCCGGCGCGGGGAGAGGGCAGGCGGCCAGCGGGAAGGAGTTGGGGGGGAGGGGGGCGGTGTGCGGCAGAAGCCACAGCGCTGAGCCTGCCGGGAAGGAAGGAAGCGGGGAACGGCGCCGCCGCTGCCGCTGCAGCCGCGGTGGAGTCCTCGGACTGGAGGGGAAGGGGAAAGGGGGCGCAACGGCGGCGCCAGGGGGAGGGGGTTTGCGGGCGCACTGCGAGCGCGGGCAGAGCTGCGCGATTGACGTAACGAGCTTGGGTTTCCCCCAGCGTCGGGAACATGGATGAGAAATCCAACAAGCTGCTGCTGGCTTTGGTGATGCTCTTCCTATTTGCTGTGATCGTCCTTCAATACGTGTGCCCCGGCACAGAATGCCAGCTCCTCCGCCTGCAGGCGTTCAGCTCCCCGATGCCGGACCCATACCGCTCGGAGGATGAGAGCTCCGCCAGGTTCTTGCCCCATTACAATTTCAGCCGCAGCGACCTCCTGCGCAAGGTAGACTTCGACATCAAGGGTGATGACCTGATCGTGTTCCTGCACATCCAGAAGACCGGAGGCACCACTTTTGGCCGCCACCTGGTGCGCAACATCCAGCTGGAGCAGCCGTGCGAATGCCGCGTGGGTCAGAAGAAATGCACTTGCCACCGGCCGGGTAAGCGAGAGACCTGGCTCTTCTCCAGGTTCTCCACGGGCTGGAGCTGCGGGCTACACGCCGACTGGACCGAGCTTACGAGCTGCGTGCCGGCTGTGGTGGACGGCAAGCGCGACGCCAGGCTGAGACCGTCCAGGTGAGTGCGCGCCCGGCAGAGCGGGGTCCTGGAGCCCCAGAGCGGACTAGGGCCTTGGCAGGCGGAGCGCACCTCGGCGCCCCAGTGGTTGCGGGCGCCCTGGCGCACGCTTGCGGCGCGGTGGCGGCCGCCGGAAGCCTGTTGGCTCTGGCCCAGGACAGCTAGTCTGTCCGAAGGTTGGCTTGCTTGGTGGCTGGGAGCGCTTGCGAGGGAAGCGGCCTGGAGGCTACGAACGAGCGCCCTCCCCGCACCTCCCCCCTCCCGCCCCGCCAACATCTGGACAGGGTAGGCACGCAGACTCTGCTTTAGACTGCCAGAAAGAACCGAGCTCTGTCTGTAGCGTTCCTGAGTCCCTCCTCTCCTAGCTCATTTCTCTGCACCTCGGTTTCTAAACCTGAAGCCTCCTTTTCTTTCTTTCTCTCTCTCTCTCCCTCCCTCCCTCTCTCTCTTCCCCCCTCCCCCACTCCCGCACTTTCCCCCTTTTATTCACGCCTCAATTTGTCAGTTTCTGGCTGCTCACTCTTGCCTTCACCCTCTGTTTTCCTCTCACTTTGCGTCTCTTCTTTCTCTTTCACCATTACTGTTTTTTTCTCTTCCTGGCTGACTTTAGTTGCCTCTCTCCTCCTTCCTCTCCTTTGGCTCTGCTCTGCCCGGAGAGTGGGTGTCCCTCTGCCGCTGTTTGAGGACACCCGGAGAGAGCTTGTGGTACCTAGCTGGCGCCCCTCACTACTTGCTGCACGCCAGACATCCACGGCGTTTTGCTAGTACAAGGCGCACCCCGTGGGCCCAAGGACTTGGTCGGGACGCTTGCTCTGACCCCATGTGGGGTTCAGCCTGGAGAAACCGGTCGTGATTTACAAACCCTGAGCCCCAGCTCAGGGCGCCGCCAACCCGTTTGCTGGGAAAGCTGATTTATGAAGAGCCTGTAGCCACTTGCTTTGAAGCTAGGGCATTTTCCTCCATCCAGCTGCAATGCCCGGTTGCTGGAGGTCATGGAGTGCCATAAAGGTGGAGGCGGGGAGGGTGCGTTGGGGTGCAGTTGCTCCAGCTAGGGCTCCCACGCTTCCTAAAACAAATCTGGGCCGGCAGAAAGTCCAGGGACTGGACAAGGTGAGCCTAGTGGCCAGGGGGCCTCCGGACTGGGTCTCTGGGTCGGCAAGGACATGGCCATACTCTCTGCCTCCTTATGGCAGAGGCTTTTGGTGTTGAGGCTGCTGAAATGACTGCTCACCTGGACCCTCTCCCAACGGCCCCCGGCCCCCCACTCCCCCAACCTCCCAGCCAGTGCAGTTTCTTCTGTCCAGCTGCAGGCACACGGAGTCCTCAGACTTTCTGGTCACCGTTGAGATTCAGAGGAAACATCACCTTCTACTCATTTTCCCTTCCCTCAGTTCAGTGTCCTTTCTTGAGTGCGGGAATTCTGGCAGAATCTGTTGAACTTTCATTTCCTTTCCAGCGTTAACAGATTTCTTTTCTTTTCCATCCTAAGAGAACCTTGGCCTCAGAAAGTTTGCCACCTCCGTCCATTTTGAGAATTGTGTAAGTCATTGTCACCACAAAATTCTGGTGTTTAAGATCCCAAACAATTTGGCAATATTGAAAATAATCTCTCTTGCTGATGGAGCTTGTAGGTGTAGTGAGGGGTGGTGATATAAAAAGCTCTTTAAGGTAAAAATAAAATTTCACAGCAGTGACTGTGGCAGAGAAGTAAAACAGAGGTCTTGGCTACTATGGAAGCCATGGCCCTGTCTAGAGTTCCACAGGGCCCATGTGCTTTTGTAAATCCTTTTGGACATGTAGGTCAGGGTGTGACATGCTCTATAAACACACGTTATTAACGTGGTCTGGATTATGCCTCTGGCAGATTCCTTCAGAAGTTTTCCATAAGGTAGCCGGGACCTCTCAAGGGGAGAGTCCAATCTCTTGGATTGTCCCAAATTGAGTTAGAATTACTTGAAAAAAAAAAAAGAGATTTTCTTGGTCATAAAAAGGGTGATACCACAGTGCCATCTAGTCTAATCAAAGAAGAACCACTTTTTAAAGCGATTTATTGGATCTTACAAGATTTGGAAAAATAAAATTTGCTGGATAAACACATTGCTACCCCAAGGGCACCTTTTTATTTCATGATCCTACCCCATCTCCAGAAATCTTCATCTTGAAGAATTAGTGAGAGCCTGACGGTTCCAGAATTTCCCAGGATGTTAACAAATCCTGCTTGCAGGACCAGTTCTGTGAGTTCTGATACTCTATGAGTGAAAGGATGTATAAGTGTGAGAATGAGAGAGAGAGAGAGAGAGAGAGAGAGAGAGAGAGTGTGTGTGTGTGTGTGTGTGTGTGTTGAAATTTAGAAACAGACAGCTATCCTGGCAGTGATCATGAGGGTGAGGAGTTGGTCTCAGGAGATCAAAGAGTGTCCGCCAAGGGGAGTTTCTGTGTGGAGCAGACATCTATGCCAGCTGGAGGTCTCTGTGCTCTGCTGAACTGAGCTCAGTCTTTTTGGCCTGAGAGTTCTGACACCTGGGCCTTAGTTCCAGGTCATCCATGAACCAGCTGCGTGACCTTGCAGTACAGCCTGTTCAAGCCTGGTATGTGTGAAGAGCGCATTCCAGTTTCTAATGAACTTGCACATCTCTTATCTCTGGTATTTCTCTGTAAACTTGCACTATCTTTGGGAAGAGGTCAGAGTAGGCAAATATATCCCCATTTATCAGATGAGAATGAAGCCCAAAGCGGCTTCAAGGTCATTGAGCACTTTAGTGGCTTAGCAGGAATCGTGCTCCAGTTCTGTCTGACTTTATAGCCATTTGGCTCTGTGGACTGTGCCTTGATGAACGACGGTTTTTGGGAAAACACAGTGAGGTATTTCATGTCAGTAATTATCACAAAGTGAACACTCAACAAGTGTTAATGATATTGTTATCACCTGTATCATCACCATTTTTAGGAATTGTACACATGTGAGTTTGGATGAGAGATTGGACCAGGGTGGCCACAGGGAGAAGCGATTTCTAGCTCCTTGAGGCTTTATGCTCGCCAGGAACAGGTTTTTTGGCAAGGTTGCAGAGGGCCTTCTCATTGCCGCGTTGGAAATCACTACAGAGATAGAGAAGGATGGGAGGATGCTGGAGGCCTGGTGTGTAAGTGTCAGTAGGAGACCTCAGCAGCAACTGAGGGCCACCTTCAGACTCAGCCATCTATCTCCCGAGGTGGGGGGACTGAGAGGCCATTGAGGCTGCATGCCAAGACCCTGAATCCTGCTCCCAGTGCTACATTTTGAGATGCTTCCTGCTCCGCAGATGATAAAGTGCTTGGGTGATATATAACTGCTAAATAGAAACGACTGTGGCCCCATTGCCCAGAGAGCACAGAGAGTGCTTGGCTGGCGAAAAGGGCACGTTGTTCATTAAGAAGAGCATTTCTTTTGAAAAGCCGAGAAATTTCGTTTCATTCATCTGTCTGCCAATGTGTTTGTTAGGATCAGAGAAGGGTCCTGCTTGTTGTAGGATTTCTGACTATTTTTGAAAATGTATCAAAACATTGTTGCTAACCGGCTGTTAAAACTACCAAATTCTGCAGGCTTTTGTCAGGCCAAATTCCATCTGTTTGTAGCCAACTTTAGAGAACCACTTGGTCTGTGGGAGGAATTCAGTGCTGGGCGCAAACAGATTGCGCTAGCCTCATTCTTCTTCACCAGGTACTGAGCTGACTGGCACACGCGGGGTGGCGGGTGGCTGGGAGGAGGGGGAGGGCAGGTTCTATGTCTATACAAGTCTAAGAATCTGATCATCATATTCATGTTGCATCCTAGACTTTTAGCATCTCTCAATTTTCCAGCAGCCATATGGGAGAGTAATTAATTGTCATCTGAAATCCAGTAGGCTATCATAGACAAGAAAGGACTAAAAGACATTTATATGGAGAAAAACTTTCTCTTCCTTTTTTTTTGGTGTGTGTGTGTGTGTGTGTGTGTGTGTGTGTGTGTGTGTGTGTGTCATTCTTTCTTGAAAATTGTGGTCAAGGTTTTATTTTATTCCCATTTATTTTTCAAAGGTGGCTGTATTTTGAAAGAGCTATGACTTAGTAAGAACTCCATAGTGATGCGCTTGCTTTTCACGCTCCCATTCCTTTGCTTACTGGATTTTGCAGTGAAGCAGGCTGACATGACTGGCTCGTGGTACACGGTGCGGCAGCGAGTGAATGAATGGACTGGTACAGCCAGCAATGCTGTCCTTCTGGTCCATCAGGCTGTAGGCCACAGGGCTCCCCCAGGGTAGCTTCACTTACCAAGAATGCATTTCTTCAGCTCTCTTTGATAAGAGCTGCTATACCCTGCCACTATTTCACAGGAGAGGGAGAGACATTCACCGTAATACCTGTAGAATGTCAGCAGTGTTAATTAGCATCTCTGCATGGAGGGCAAACACGTTGTTGGAGTCCTGACAAAGCTCTAAGTTCTTAAGGTACTGTAATATAAAAGGTCATTCAGAAATAACATTTCTTCATAGTAATTTTAGATTAGTGTTCTATGGCAATAAGAACGTTAGAGCTTATCTTTTATAGATATCTGTCGTCAACTTAGGTAGTATGAAATGACATTAAAGAATACTCATGTCTTCCTTCAGTTATTCATTAAACAAAATTTTGTAAAACTGTTCATTATATTCCAAGGAAGATGTGTCATCCTTGCTCTCTCAGAGCTTGCAGTAGAACAGAATATTTTGGTATTTTAGATATTTAATAAAGAAGATGGATTTTTTTGAACATGATTTGAATATCAATGTCTTTAAAATGTCATACTTTACTAGAAAATATTTAACCATAGAGAAAAGTCCATGTGTTCATGTTGCACTTTGGGTCTAATCAGCAAAATTTGTGGAGTATGTATTATGACCTCTGCACAGTGCTAGAGCCAAGACAAAAGCCCAAACTGCCAGGGTTATCATCTTCAGCCTCCAGTCCATGAAGATTAGAGGGTCAAGTGCAGAAGTGTGTAGTGT